TATATTTCTCTTTTGCTTATTATATCTTCACTTTCACTCAAGTCTCCAATTTTTCTTGCATTGGTTCAAATGTATCAAATAAAGACATAAAAAATTATATAGGTGCACATAAGTTTATAATTTAATTTGAATGAACATAAAGTACAGCCGCTTAGCCATTTGTACTTTAATTTCTTTTTTTTTTTGCAGGTGAAATACGTTAGCAGGTGAAATACGTTAATGGGAATTAATGGGAAGTTCCAAGCGGACTGAGTGAAACTAGAATAGGAGCAGGTATCGAATTATTAGCAGTAGTATGTGCTTCCCTAGTAGCAAGGTGGATACGAATTAGTGTGCTACCTTTGTCCCAATGCCTGCTTGATCTTCTTAAGCTTTTTTATGTATAATTTCACCTGAATTTATAAAAAAAAAAGCAGAAAAACTACTATCAACTTTAACATAAATGAATATCATTGAATATGTTGTAAGAAGTTATAATGGTCAATGTGTACAACCCTTAATACATTTTGCATGAATTACATATATATATATCTCTTTCATAGAACTTTATGACAATGATTAACTTTTATGAATTTATGGTGAAAAAACAGTAAATTATTATACTAAATTTCTGAATAAATTACCCATCATCACACTACTAGAAAAACAATTAAAACTGACAGAAAAGTCAATGGCTAAGCAATCGTCAGAAATTTTGAACTTATCTCAGATGGCTTTGCCATGACTTGTATTTAATGTCGTTGTCGTTGGCTTGCTGATGCACTCAATTGTAGTTTTATAGCAAAATACGTTTCTGACGCCTTTAGAAATAAACGACGTTCATTGCCATCGGTTTGTGCCAACTTATAAACCGACAAATTTAGGTCGTCAGAAATCCAAGGCGTCGACTTTTTCCAGGTTAAAAATCAACGTCATTTTGATATTAACTGGTGGTTTAACCTGCATGTTAGTATGTTATTAAAAATTGACGACATCAACGAGTCAAAAAATCATCAAAAAAATCTATATATATGCGTAATGAGCCCCAAATTTTATCATTGTCATTATTCCTGCGTTCGCAAAGCCAACGGACCGCTGATGCTCCTTACTCTCATTTTAGATTGCCTTCATCGTTACTTGATTTCTTTATGTCAAATCGAAGGTAATCTCCATTTAGTCGTTCTTCTAAATTCTTATTTAATTTGAACTATTAATTTTTTCATAATTTTTTATTTTGTTCTTAATAGAAATTTCAAATTTTGATTTTTATTCTAGAATAATTTTATTTTAAATTAATTGAATATGTTTGGTTAACTAAATCCACTACCAAAAAAAAAAAAAAAGATTTTCATAGCATATATTTTGCGCACATTTTAAAAGTGTTGCCAAAGTTATTAAAATAGGGAACAAAAGATTTACAATTTCCAATATCAAGGTGAAATGATATTCTTTGAATTTTACAATTTCCAATATCAGGGTGAAACAATTTACTATATTGAATCATGAAACTGCATTGAAACAATATTCTTGAAATATGTTGCTATAGCTTTAATTATCATTCATTAAATTATTATTTCTCCTTTCTTACGGACTAAAGAATAAGATTTAACAAATGCCTCAATCTAAATTTTTTTTTCCTTTCTTTGTTTTTGAGTAAGTTAAAGCTTAACAAATACTTCATGAGATAAGATCTGCACCCAAACTTTCATTCTGAAATCCTATAAAATATGAAAAATCATAGGAACATCATATCCACAATCTTAAAACCTCAGATTAAGTGTACACTATTGGTTGAACCAAGAGTTATTTAATCACATACAAAATTAGTAAGGATGGCACTTAACACAACATGCTAAAAACCTGATTTTCATTTTTTTTTCTATATATCTGTTTGCTTGCTATGTATTGGCATAGCATATAATTATTTATGCTAATAAGCAACTGAATGAATTGTAACTATAAATAGCTTCACATTCTCTGGGACGAATTACTAAATAGGCCCATCATAACTTATGATACAAATTACATCGAAGCATAGGCCTTGCATCCATGTGTTGAAAAAAAATTGGCTGTTTGCAGTATTTGCCACAAAACAATCCAACTATAAGCTTAGTTTATCATATTGTAGCTTGGGAGTAATCACATAAAAATTACAATTGTTAGATAGATTCATTTTTTTAACTTCGTTAAATAAGGGAAGATAGGAACCAAGTTGGTAAAAGAAAATTAAGTAAAGTTTAAAAGCAAGTAGATAAAAAAGGATTTGTATTGTCACAATTCTAATTTGTGCTCTTAGAGATAGAGAATCCTGAGAAATAGAACCAGGTTACTCAATTTTCAAATTTAGATTTATTTTTACATAACTTTAATTTTAATTTGTTCTCATTAAACTGAATTGAAACTAGTTGAGGTATACATGTTTATTACATCAATTAGGACTTTAATTTTAGAGGCACAAAAAGAATGTAAGAAATGCTTATGAACTTCTTCATTTTGATTTTAAAGGTCCATTAACTTGCACTTCGTGCATGTGTTTTTACCTTGACCACCTTATCTCAAAAGTAGAGAAAGTATATGATGCTTTGCAGATTCAACATCAAATCTGCCTTCTTCAGGGATCTGTTAAACTTTCTAACTCTTCATATGAATTAAATTATGTACTTGATTATGAAAAAAATGTGGTTTTTTTAATCTATTTTGAGAACTTCAATTATAACATACATGTGTTTCAAGTTTGAAACCAACATTGAGAGTGGATTTTAAGGAATTAGTTTTTTTTTATTCTAAAGTGAGGACTTCAACTATAAAGTACATAGTAGAACTATCAAAACAAAGTTGAATTGCAGTAAATTATTTCTATCTTGTTCCCTGAGAGGAAATACACATTTTAAAATGAATCGTCATGCCTTACATAAAACTATATTACTTATGCACATGAGATTACTTTTAACTTTTTCAAATGTATTTGAACTTTTTAATTAAGTCGCCTGCTGATCACATGTCCTATGTAATGACAGGGATTTAAAATTTTTTTTTATATTTCATAATGGACAAAAGTTGAACGCAAAGACCTAGATGGACTCGTGAGTACATAAGAGATGTAGAAAATTTCTTTGAGTTTGCAAGTATGAGTAAAAATTCAACAGATAAAATTTTATGTCCTTGTAGAGTTTGTATTAAAAGATTTTTCTACTCTTTAAAAGATGCTAAAAGTCATTTAACCTCTAATAAAAATTTTTCTGGTTATATCATGTGGAATCGATACGGGAAAGAGCATAATACTATTGGCGAAGATGCAGAATATGAAACAATAAAAATCATGTTTGATATTCAACAACCAAAAATTCAAGTAGAAGAGCCAAACATGAATGATATAAAAGGATTAGTAAGAGGCACTTTTACCCTAAAAAATAATTCAAATAATCAAACTATCAAATGTGAAATATCTAATTCTCATCCAACAAGTGATGATCGAAGGCTGAGGAAGTTGTTAGAAGATGTAGGAGCAGAATTATATTCAGGAGGTAAGTCTTTCACAAGATTATCTTTTATATTGCAGTTATTTCGTTTGAAATGTTTACACTCATAGATTAGAAGATCTTTTGATATGTTGCTAGAGCTATTAGTAGAAGCCTTCCCCAATAACACTTCATAGCCTAAAAACACATATGAGGTGAAAAAAAATGATGAAAGCATTCGATCTTAGTTATACAAAGTTTGATGCATGTCTTAAGGTCTTTTTGACGTATAATCTTTCTAAACTCGGAATCCTAGATGATCTCTATTTTAATTTTGGATGTTTTTTATAAAAAAAATTTGGCTTGAGATTTGTGTCAAATGAAAAAATTTTATGTTGGTGTTTCACATCTAAATTTTAGTTTTCTAACTTTATAGCATTTTACTTATGCATGAAAAAACATTGTTGAATCCTATATTGTCTTCTTGTGGAAGACGGCTCGAGAGTAATTACTTTAAATTTAGTTTTCTCTTTTTTTCTCTCTCTGTCCCACTTTTTCTCTCTTGGTTGTCTTCCAGAATCATGCTAACATATTCGTAGTATGCAGGTATATTTCCTTTTTTTATAAAAACAAGTAATACCTGCTATGTTTGTTGTGATAGGAAAAATACGAGCTTTATATAAGTTTAGGTATTAGACATATACAAAAGAATTGTGTGGTATGTATGTAAATGCCTATTTATTTTATTTTTTACCAGAATGAGGACTTGCCCTCCATATACATTAATGAAATGTAAAAAAAAAAAAACTGTCAATAAAAATAAACAAGAAGGGAAGTTCAAATAAATAATTAAAGAAGCAAAACTGATAGCTATCTGAATTTGTGGAAGCTCTCCAAAAAATAAATCAAATTCGCTCATAATAAAAACCAGTAATATCAAAGAGATGTATTTTTGGCTCCATCATTGGTAGTTGGAAGTAAGCAGACAAATTCAGTAAAGAATATATTCAAAGGCACAGAAAAAGATGTTGGTTGAATCTAAACCTTCGCTTTATAAATTAGTTCCAGTTAATATCTGCTGCCATTAGTCAAGAAAGAGCCTTTTATATGGTTAAAAACCTCCCTTAAAAGCTCTACACGCAATAGAATATTTATATGGTCATTATTTTTTTTTTCTAAAGAAAAGTTATTTAACTTTTACTCCCACTTTTTCCCAAATAAAATAAAGTTTTTATTCAGTTATTTTCCCAAAAAAATCGCGCAATGTCACGCCTCCACCTAGGAAACCCAGGCGGACATTACCGTACACTATAAACCGACACAAGGACCCGCCACTACCAGTTGCTTCAATTCTCGCCATCTTCATCTGCACTCGAACTCTCCAAATCGTTGATAACATTATTATTGCCTTTTTTTAATTTAAATCCCCAACGTCATTATCGATCTTTTCCTAACTTTTATTTTCAATAATCAGTAATAAAGATGGCAAATAAATCAAGTTGTTATAGATATTTGAAAAACCAAATAATCCAAATCAATATCGAAGACATGCATGCGACCAGACTTGACGATACAAAAAACCGTATAGACAATATTAAACAAAAATACTCAGCATAGGTAAAACCAAGCTGTATAGTGTCCTCGGAGCATAAAAAGCCGGAATGATCGGTAATATGAATGGACGGTTAAGATCAGCATTTTGGTAGATCCAATGGCGGCGGTGGAAGTTTCTGATTTTGTAACTCCCCATCGAGCACTATCCAAGCCATTCTTAGCCCCCAACTCATGTGCACTTCGATGTGGCAATGCATGAACCACACACCTGTGATTATCACGTGTTTATAAATAGCATAAAACACAAAGAAAGATATGAAGAAAAAAGATGAGAATGTCTCATACAAATTTTATGAAAATGAGTTTCAATAGTCATAACTTTATTTCAAAATGAATAAAAAATATATATTAATTATTAATAATTAAAACTCATCTCAAAAGAAGCATTAAAGTTTGAACTACATTCTAATATTTAAATTCTAATAAATTAATATACCTCAAATTCTTTCAGAAGTAATAACTTTCTGAGAAACAGAACAGAATAACATATAAAATAAGTACTCTCAAGTCTCACCAGGGTTATCGGCGAGGAATCGCAGTGCTACCCATCCACCCGACGGCACTCCAAACGTATTCCGCTCCACTGGATCCTTAAGATTAAACTTAGGCGGATCCCTCATCGGATCATAATTCCCCGACCCCTGCCCCACAACAAAGAAATTAAACCCATGAAGATGCAACGGATGGCTCTCAATCCCTTGTATGCTCGTATCCTGCAGCACCACTTCCACCGACGTATTAAACTTCAAAACCTCCACCTTGGTAGCATTAACCACGAATGTATTATTCGGCGGCGCCCCTGTATAGTTAAAAACAAACGGCGGATTAGCAGGAAAATCTGTCGTATAAACCTTTTCCGACCTCCGGAAAAAATAAGCCTGAAGCAAAGCTGTCGACGGGAGCGCGAATGAAACGTTGTTGACCGAAGCCGCAAATTTCGTCCCGTTGGGTCCCTGACAAGTACCGTTGTTTGGGCAGGGGCTCGTTCCGAGACCAACAGTGAAGAAGAAGCGACGGTCAACTGTTGTCGGGATGTTGGCGGGGTATTGGTTGGATGCCAGGCTGCGGAGTTGGGTTGTAAAATTGGTGACGAATAAGGTGTTGTTGAGGGCGGGGAGAGGAGGGATGATGAGGAAGGTGAGGGCTTGATTGGTGTTGGGGTATTCGAGAATGGCGGATGCAGTAGTGTTGTCGAAGGCTCCTAGGCCGGTGTTGTAGGAGCGGATGGCGATGAGGAAGGTGGAGTTGGGGGTAGATGACTTGGTGCGGAGAAGGAGGTTGGTGGTTTGGCCAGGGCTGATGACGATGGTGTTGGCGTCGAAAGGTTTTACGTAGTTGGCGTCTGCTTCAACAATGGTGAGGGTATGCCCGGCGATGCTGAAAAAAAGCTCGTCGTTGAGGGCGGCGTTGATGACGCGGAGGAGGTAGGTCTTTCCAGGTTCAACCTTTAGCTTGTACGTGTCGCCTGCTCCGGTAAATAAATAATAGTTGTGATTTTTTTAAAACAAATATTTGACAATATTTTGATAGATTTATGTTAGCAGTAAGAATGAAGTGCTGATTGATAAATACTTGAAAATTTAAGTTAATGCGGTGAAATGATAAGATACACACTCAAATATTAGTAATATTAATAAAAATTAAGTTAATGCGCTTGAACACTAATTTTAAAAATCGAGTACTGCAAATCGTTAGGCTCCACTTTGCCTGCTTTATTTATAATATGAATTTCAGAGAAATAGATAGTAACAGTACTTGGATTTGAAGTATTAGTGGAGGAGGAGCAATTGTACAAGAGACCGGGGAATCCGTTGATGGTGAAGGCATCAGAGATGTTAGGTGGTCCGCCAGTTTGAAGAGCCTGTGATATGATTGCCTCGGTGTCCGCATTGAACCACTCTCCTGCCATTTTTATAAATTAAAGTAAATCAATTTTCCTTTAATTTTATTTTTTATTATGATTATCATTATTCTTATAAGCTTATAGAATGTTTAAACATAGAATGAGAGAGTCACTATTAAGTCAAATTTTGATAGAAAATGGATCTCGAAGCTTATGAACTTGTTTTAAGATGAATGCCAAACTGAATGGTTGAAATTTATGCTGTACTCTTATCCAATCAAATTGGCCGGTTGTAAACTCTATTCTGCTAAACTACTCAAACAAAATTAATTCCCACCATCATTAGCCAATATTCTTTGTTATGAAAATGATATATATATATATATATATATATATATATATATATTACTGCGAATGTTATTTTAGCATAAAGGAAGAATGACATAGATGATATTTAATTCCTTTGCATTTACATAGCTAACACCCAAACATTAATTTTCAGATACATACCACATAACCTATGCATGAAATGAAAAGGTGTATTTCAGTTCAATCAAATTAAAATTGTGATATATGTTTGACAAATAATTACTTTATAATATCATCAATTAAAAATTAATAAATATCAAATTTTGTAGGAGAATGCTTCGAGGATTTAATTTATTCTAACATGTATCGTACAGGCTAATATCTCACATTTTGTTAGCCAACTTTGTCAAAATTTCACCATTAAAGGACCATATATTACATTTCATGAGGAAAAGAAACAGCGATTTTGTCTTCTCAAAAAGCGTGAGGATGGGAAAAAAGAAAATTCAGTATTTTCAGATGCCAAAAACCACCAAAATATTTAAACTACATTAAAGATTTTCTTTGCCTAATACATGCACCAACATATTCAGTATATCCACACAGAAGTTTGATTTGTTTTCAATCCAGACGTTTAAATTATCAGACTACGTGTTTTATGAAAGTTAAACTAATTAATTACCAAGTAAAAGCGTGACCTCCTTGTATGGCTTCTCAAACGGGTAGGGAACCCTGGGCTTGGGTAGAATTACAATGGCCCCATAAATGGTGACCCGCAGCCACGATATATGGGCGTGCCATAGAAGCGTTCCCCGTTGTCCCACAATTGTAAAATTATACACATAACTCTCACCAGTTTGTATCGGGCATTGCGTTATATAGGACGGCCCATCAGCCCATCCACTCCTTAATTGCCTCACCCCATGCCTGTTCCCATAATTGTCATAAACCTAGTTAGATTTATAAATCAGAATACTAATCCAACATATAAAAAAAAATACTGATATGTTCTCCAAAAATGATACCAATGAATAGACACATTGTTCTTCACATGATTAACGACATTTATGACCACCCGATCGCCCTCCCGAGCAACCAACCTCGGCCCTGGAAACTTCCCGTTGACGGTCAATATACTTTTTGTTTTGCACAATCTGGTCACATTTTTCAATTTAATCTGCAATACAAAGAGAATTTACGAAACAATCATCGTAGCTCAAAACACGATAATTTTAGCTATATAAAAACCCGTACACACATCAAATTTGTAGTGCCTTGTGGTGCCCTCAGCGAGTTTTGACAAAATAATAATGGCAAAAATGACGACTAGAAATGTTGAAATATTGGGCCTCATCTCCATTTTTGTTGTCCAGCTTGCTTGTAATGCATCGTAGTGATCTAAGTTTGGAATGTGTAATTATATAGAGGTTGCATTTGATTGATTAGGTGATGAATTGAAGTTTTACCTTTTGATTAATTTGCAAATCTGTTCTTGCTTTATTTGCGAAACTAAAGCTATAATTGAACCTAAATTACTGGGTTCCACATTCACAGAAAGTGAGTCATAAATCTGCATCAGCTATCGAAAAGTTGTACAGCCAAAATAAGTGAGGACAGAAGGAGAACATGAGTAAGGTGAATGGAAGTAATATTTTAGAAATTAACGAAAAGCCTCGTTCTTTGTCAGTTGAGGGTATGCAAACAATGCAATGTGGCTGCCTAACCCTTTTCTTTAATGGAAAGACAAGCAACAAGAAAAAAATAGTGGCCACTAATAGTTTTCAACTTACCAAATTTCAAGTGGAAGTAGCTCTGAGAAGGCCGAGCATATTTTAATAGATTAAAGAATACTGCTACGTACTAAGAACTAAGGAATTCAACTTGGCATCATGGCCAAAATATATGTTAGGTATGACTCCTATACCAGATAAGGAACAGATGCTGAAGCGGAACAGAGCGAGCGAGCGAGCGAGCGTAGTGGAGATCGCTAGAGGAGTGGAGCGGAAGCATTTGTTCAATAGGGGGAGTTTCGTTATGTGGGTTGGGGTGCGGGGGCAATCCCTCGTTGTACGGTACATGAATAATTTTGTAATTACATACTGTACACCAAAACTATATATATATA